TAGAATATTTATACAATATTAAACATATATGTATACACCATTAAATAATCACTAATATTCTTTTTAACATATATTTTACTAATAAAACAATATTAAACTAATAAAGCAATATTAAATAATCACTAATATTTATACACCATGCATCAAGAATATTTATATTACCGATTTACCGATGACCGTAAAAAATCATCACTGATATATATATATATATATATATATATATATATATATATATATATATATATATATATATATATATATATATATATATATATATATATATATATATATATATATATATATATATATATATATATATATATATATATATATATATATATATATATATATATATATATATATATATATATATATATATATATATATATATATTCCCTCCGGTCTCATTTATAAGAAAAAATTAACTTTTTATATACATTGAATAAGTAATGTATTTGGACAATATATTGTCCAAATACATTACTTATTTAATGTATCTAAAAAGTTAACTTTTTCTTATAAATGAGACCAGAGGGAGTATATATATATATATACACCACCAAGAATATATATTATCATTTCTATTCTATATTATCACTAATATTTATATTATCGTTTCAACTTTACATTATCATCAAATAATCACTTATATTATCAACTTTACACCATCAATTATATGAGTTCTTTCAATTTCAATTTCAACTCTATGTGAAGTGCTTTTAATTTCAACACTATAAGTGTTATTACGACAACCTCTCAAACCAAAATGTATAGCTCGATTAATTGTATAGGAACATATTTTCTCTCAATCAATACATGAAATATTCATTGTGACATTTACACAAACACCTTACATCCAAAACTCATTGTGACATTTTCACAAACACCTTACATGCAAAAACCACATGCCACACAAAACACAATATAATGCAACATTATCAACACTATCAACTAAATCAAATGCAATATTATACTCCCTCCGGTCTCATTTATAAGAAAAAATTAACTTTTTAGATACATTAAATAAGTAATGTATTTGGACAATATATTGTCCAAATACATTACTTATTCAATGTATCTAAAAAGTTAATTTTTTCTTATAAATGAGACCGGAGGGAGTATATCAACATTATCAAATATATCAAAAATCATACCTAGAGGAGAAGAGAATCTTGGTTGTGAATGGAAGAAAGGATGAAACCGTCTTGAATGGAAGAAGGATGAGAACCTTGAAGAAAGGATGAAACAGTTTTCGTTTAGAATCAAACGAAAAACTTCGTGAAAATGGGTTCAGCGGCTTCGTAACTGTGTTGGGTTCGTGAAAATGGGTTTCTGAAAATAATAACGTTACTGTGTGATACTGTTGGGCGTTTTTTATTTTTTTTATAACAGGACTTTAGGCAACGTTTTCAAAAGCGATGTGTAAGTTCACCCTTAGCCAGCGCTTTCTGTTAATCTCCCCCTTTAGGAAGCACTTTTACAAAGTGTTGCATAAGTCCATCTTTTATGCAGCGCTTTAAAAAAGCTCTTTGTAAGCCCACCCTTCAGGGTGCTTTTCCAAAGCGCTACGGTACCTACCCCCTTTAGCAGCGCTTTATAAAACCACATTCACTCCCCTTTAGGCAGCGCTTTCACAAAGCGCTGCTTAAGCCCACCCTTTAGGTAGCGTTTTTAAAAAGGGTTTTGTAAGTCCACCCTTTAGGCAGCGTTTCAGTACCTACCCCTTTAGCAGTGCTTTATCAAATCATATTCACCCCCTTAGATAACATTTTTTTAGAAAACACTGTCTAAGATATACAACTGAATTCCCGTATTTTTTAAATAGATTTTTAGCAGTACTTTTAATAAAAAGTGTTGTCTTAGATGTGTTGTTTAATCTTATTTTTGACATAGTGATTTATATAGCTTGTTAGCTTGTGGGGTTAACAATCGACCTAATTAACTAACCACTCGTTAGTTAATTTAAACTACTAATAGACTTAATTACAAACTAGCTTACTCAACTACTATATACCGCACCCATGTATAATATATCTAGGAAACTAACAACTTCACTAATATGCCCGTGCAAATTGACGTTTCTTCAAATGTAATTAATGTTAGTTTATTTAATAATAACGTGTTAAAATTTTCTCTTAAAATTCAAGCTGTTCACTTATTATATGGATCCAAAAATGTGCATAGAAGGAAATTTGGGAGGAGAAATAATTACTAAAAGATGAATATATTTCTTGTTTTTCTTACAATAAGTGAATATATCTTTTAATGTCTTAAAATATGATAAATTGATAATAGTAAAAATAATTCACATAAGTATCAAAATTTTATATAAAAATATATTAGTTATTTACGACATGTCTATGAAGCATACTTAACAAATATTATAAAATTTGTTCAACATAATAAATATGATCCAATATTAGTATTCTATGTTTTTTAGATAAATTTTTTTTTAGTATTTATGTAAGAATTCTTATCCAATCATTACAATTGACTCAAAAAAAAACCTGAAGTTTCTTGATATGAATTCACAAAATTTTGTGTTTCAAGTTTCTTGTAAATTGCCAGACATGATTTAACTTATTAAATTCATGACTACTCATGAAAGTTGCAAATATGAGTCCACATGCCAAAAGCTACATCATGCTATAAAATAGTGTTTCCTTTTCCATAACAAAATAAAAGCTTATAAAGTTCGACAACAGTAAGATAAGTTTGGTCAAATAATTAATAAAATGATGAATATAGTCCCACCTTCCAAAAAAAGAATAGAATGACCTGTGTTTCAAAGACCATTGCCATTTTCTTGTATTCTCAAATTCATTTAATATAGTTTTATAAGTAAAAAAAAAACTTTTTTATAAGTTTAAGTGATTAATTATTTTTTACAGTAATATGTTAGTAAATTTGAATTAACAATAAATTGTTTATATAATTTAAATATGAATTTTAATTAACTTTTTTAATTAAAATATGTCTTTGATTTGAATTTACACGCACAATTTTATGATTTGTCGCTAATGGATTAAAAATATAATTTTATATTTTATTTTCAAATTTTATAGCATTTGAACATTATAACTTAGGACTATAAACTTATGGAAGAAGTTAAGAGATTATGGAAGTAAAACTATACAAATGTGGGGTACCAAATTAAAGTAGAAGACAACTATTTTTTTCTAAATAATATTTGTAGAGTGGCAAAATGTATGATGTAAAAAAGCAGAATTAGATCATATGGGACATAGGGATTGTATAATTTTCATGGTGTTTTCAAAAGGCAAAGGGAAAGAAAGTAATAATTAATTTAATTTGTGGTAGTGGGTTAATAATTGAAAAGTTCGAATAATTTGTAGTATGGGATATTAGACCCTCTTAGCTGCTTATATGATTGAAACAATTTGAATTCAAAGATCATAATATCAAAGTTTTGTTTATATTTTTTCATGAAGTGTAAAATTGGAAAGAGCAGTTTACAGCTACCAATTTAAGTTTGATTTTATATAATTTAAAATTTCTTAATATAATTGCTTCTAGCCATTAGAAAATATAAAACCCTTACATTTTGAGATTTTAATTGACAAATTATATAGAAGTTTATTCGACAAAGTAATGAATAGCATATGGAAATAAGTGAATAGTGAGATTTTTTTTATAAAATAAAATAGGTGAATAAGATAATAAAAACCTTTGTACCTAAAAAACTAATAATAAAAACCTATCAAAATATACAATACATTTGCTATTAAATTTAAATATGTGACATTTTATTTATTTAACTTTAAATAATAATATTTTGACATTAGACTTCTCAAATAAAAAATTATATATATTTAAAGTTCAAAAGAAACATGAATATAAATATTTCTTATTCACAAATCACATTTTATTATTGAGTATAAATAAGGTGGAAAAAATAGATATATTTATCATATTTATAATTATTCCATAAAAACTTAAAAACAAAATCAAATATATATATATATGAAAAAGTGAGTTTAAAATTTTGATATTCTTTAAAAAAAATATACTGACAAAATAGATAATTTTGATATATCGGATTCATTTTGCTATCCTAAATACTAGTGATCTCTTTATTATTTTATTAATTGGATTAATATTTACTTGTAAAATAATTATAATTAAGAAAAACATATCACATGCATGGTGCATTATTTATGGAGTTATTAATATATATCCCAAAGGCTAAATTAGGTCGCAAAAATACATCCCATGTTCCCGAAAGGAGCTACAAAACAACCAATGTCACTTCATGAACTTTCTTATTACTCTATATGTTTTTAAAAACAAATTAAAACTACCGACCAATTTCTATTTCTATGTGAATTGTGACCACAATTTTTGTGGCTATTAACATTAATAAAGCATCTTACTTGGTCTTATTTTGCTAAAGCATCTTGCTAGTACTTAGTTTACATGTACTTAACTTTCATTGGTTAAAGGATTAGGTGATTGAATATTTATGATTTGTTTGTGGGGTGTCATGGTAGGGAATTAAGATGCAAATTGTGTTAGTTTTTAGCTATTAATTATATGATTACAAAAGATATTAAAGATAATTAAAGTAATACACTAGCTACAAGATTGCTTGAACAATAGTGTTAAATATATTTTTAGTTTTTATAAATATTTTATTATTTTATTTTATTCTTTATAATTTTTTTTTTAAGTTATGGTCTTCTAAAGTTTTTTCGTCCTTAAATTTAGTCACTCTCGTTAGCTTTCACTAACGCGTTGTGAGGGAGACGAACACATTATATTATTTTGAATTTTTGACATAAAAACAACTTATTGACATGGAAGAAAACAAGTTACATTATTTAATTTAGAAGGGAAAATGTTTTCCTTCACAAACACAACATACATTCCTCTTTTCTTCTCCTTCTCAATCAGCAATACGGTTAATGGGTTTTGTTTTTTGAATGGTTTATGCAATCATACGATTTTTGCATTTTGGTAGATTTTATTAACAAGAAGAAATGGGAAAAAGAGCAGGTCACATTGCATTTGGAAATAATTGTGAAGTTGAAATTCATACTGAGACAAACTCACTTCGAGAGCATGCCACATTCATGGAAAAGGTTAGATAGAAAATGAAGGGAAAGATATGTGATGAATAGGTTCATAATTCTAGTGACTCAAGTATTGAATTTGTTAAGGGCATACATTTTGATGATAGTGAGGAGGAGAGGATGCATGGTTTTGGTGATGGTGTGGATGAAGTGCAAGCTAGAACTACACGTGTTGTTGTTGATGGTGCTATCATAAGTGAACCATCAAACAATGCCTTTATCATAGAAGAGATAGGAAGAGAACATATCATTGAGGAAGACTATACGACTGATGAACTGAAAAGTGGGACAACTGATGACAATTGTGTTGATAGACCTATTGTAATTAGATTTAATGAAGAATATGCTCTTTTTAAGGATTTTACTTTCAAGGTTGAAATTGAGCTTTCCTCATTGAAACAATTCAAGAATTTCATACTAGAGCACAATGTCTTGAATGGTAGAGAAGTGAGATTTGAAAAAATGATGCAAATAGGTGTAGGGTTGTTTGTAAGAAAAAGAAAAAATGTGACTAGTCTGTCTTGTGTAGTAGAGTTCTAACCTCCAGAACATTCAGGATCAAGACTTTGTGTCAAAATCACAAATATGCAACACATTTCTTCAATAAAATTGCCAAAGGTGATTGGGTTGTAAAGGTTATTCTAGATAGGTTGAATAACAATAATAAGATGAAGTTAAATGATGTGATAACAGATGTGAGAATAAGGTATGCAGTTGAAATCCCAGATTGTGGAGCTTTTAAGGCAAGTCAGCTTACTAGAAAAATAGTTGAAGGTGACTCTAGCAAGCAATATAGTTTGTTATGGCCATATGGTGCTGAATTGAGAAGGTCATATAGGGAAGAAGAAGAAATGTAGGTTAAAGTGTTTTACATAATAAGACAAAACAAAATCTTTTAAAAAAGTAATTCTCAATCTAATTCAAACGTCATCTTAGTCATATGTCACAAAATTATCATATGTGTCAGCCCACGTCAGCTTCCGTTAGGGAAATTTAACCGGAGAGACTAGATTTAGGGATGAAAAAACTTTGAAGGACCATTGTTTGAAGTAATTTTTTTGAGAGACTAAAATTAAATTATGAGATATTTCTAGGAAACCCTAACATGTTTAACCCTTGTAATATATAAACTTTAATTGATCGACATTTAGCTAAATCGTAAGAGTATGCAATAATAATTTTTAAAAGCATGTTTTCATAAATGATTCTAAGAGACATTACATGGATTTGTTATTGTTTACGATGATTTTTTTTTGTTTAAGGATAAGTAATCAAATATGAAATTCAAATGAATATTTAAATTGTACAAATGTGAAATTCTCACTTATGTTTTACAAGTAGCTATATGTTTGTAGGTGGTTTTGAAAATGTCTTCAAATTAGATTTAGAATTGGATGTTGAAATTGGAAGGTTTAATTTATAAGAAAAATAAATGAATGCAATAAAATGACACATGAATTCAAAGAACGGGAAAGAAAAAGTGATGAAATATACATTGTATATAAAGTAAATGAATTTAAAAGACATTGTCGGGAAAGGTAAATTAGTTGAAAATTTAATGAGATTTAAAGGTTGTAGAATGTATACTTATTAAATTTATGGAAAAATTTATTTTAAATTAGAATTAGACTTCAAAATATAAGTTGGCAGGCATTTTTTTCTTTGTGAGAACTCTTACTTAAATGGAAACAAAATTAGATAATTTCAACTTCAATGATAGGCCACGATCGTGACAGTTACGTCGCCAAACAAGTTTAAACAGATTATGTACAAGAAATGGACACTCGTTCCAAAAGGTACTTTTTATGTGCTAAAATCTCGTCAAATTTGTGCTTTTTGCTTGATATTCTGTTGAATGTTGGTCAAAATATAGTGTGTGTTAGAAAGATTCATTCTATTCACTTTATGTACTTATAGGAAACAAGACGAAGTTTGTCGTTTCATATAATTATTCCTTGAAAGTCACCCCTTATGCCGACGTTACTCTTGTCATTAGATCATTCCATATTTATTCAAGAATATTGAATTTTTTGTTGATTCTCGATCCTCTTTGACAAGCCTAAAATTTTGGAAATATCAATCATATACAATACACTAGTAGAAAGTAGAGATTTAGAAACTAATATTTAGGGTGAACTCATTCTGGATTGCGAAAAGTATAGTGTCATAGAAGAGGTGATTATGTTTCTAAATAATTATTAATGTATATTTAATCTCATTCCATGATGACCTTTTCTTATGCTAAATGATAGTTTTCTAGTAGTGATATTGGTCATTAGAGATAAAAAAACACATATCTTAAGGTTTTGGTTAGTATACAATCTACAATTCCACTTGTATAGTAGTTCATTGCCCAATGTAATAATTTTTTAAACTCTATCAAAATCACAAAGTAGTATTAAAGTTTTGATTTAGTTTGGTAGGAGGAGTGTAATTTAAACCATGGTGTTTGGGAAGACTGTTAGATTCAAGTGTTAGTGGTTAATCATCAATCTAGCATGAATGGATTGAATATTGGATATATATAAGATTGGTGATTCATATGCCTTATAACTTAAAATTTTAGGTTAACATGTGATGTCTTTCTCTTATGGTTCTATAAATTTTGACATTTGTTGCCCAAGGAGCTTTTACAAAATCCATAATAAATGATATTCGAGTTGATGAATAAAAAAATCCTTGAATTGAAATTCTTTTTGACAATGTTGTTTAGACGATGTGTTTCATTAAAGCGATACCAATGATGTTGTAAATATAGGTGACTGAATAACTTTTGGTTGAAGTGGATCATAACATATGAATGGATGGTCTCACTTGAGGGAGAGATTTATGGTATATCAATTATGAGTAAGAGTCTGACAATGGATGAAATAATGGGTGTTAAGTAACATATAAGTTAGAGAACTAATATACTTAATGCCTTAATATTTTTGTTTAATATGCAATGTCCAATTTCACTTATGTGATTGTTCAAAATCCAACATGTTTATTCCTAGAACCCCTTCACAGCCAAAGAGTGATATCTGACCCTAGTTTTCATTCGTAGGTGAGCGTGTGTAGAATCTTGGTGTTTGGAATCTTAATTAAGTATATAATTTAGAAGAATCATACTTGTGTAACTAAACTGTTGATTTTAAGTGTGAGTGGTTATTCTCATGTCAATTGATAATGGGTGAAATCTAAGATATATAAGAGTGATTAACCATATGTCTAATGCCTAAAAATTTTGAGCTGATATGTAGCTCATCCTTCTCTTGTTGTCTTGCAACATTGACCAATTTTTCGTCTCAAAGTTTTTCCATACTCCCCAACAAGTCGAATCTAAATTGGAGTTTCAACCAACTCCTTATATCAAAAGTATTCCTTAAATTGGTGGTAAGGTGACATGTTTCATTGCTAAAGCACAAACATCATTGCAGGTTTATGTGGATGAAAACTATTTAGTTTGAGGGGAGTATAGCTAAATGTACTAATTGACTCACACTTGGAAGATAGATTATTGATATATCAAGAGTGAATAACAATCTCTTATTGGATGGAAAAGTTAATTTTAAGTAACAAAAAATTATATGATTAATATCTAATATTTTAAAATATAAGTTAATATATAATGTTTAAACTCACGTGTGTGCTTGTTTAAAGTCCAATGTGATCAACCCCCAAACCTTTTACAACTTAACACAATAAAAATACAATACTTTATCATGTCATTGTATTTTTGTACAATCATTAAATTAAAAGAAAATAGCATAAGGTCATTGTTAATCATAGAATCAAATAATTAATCAAATTAGAACAAATAGATATTTGGTGAGAATTTTTTATGATGTTAAAATTGTTTGGAATATGGATTACTGTGATATCACAGTTTACTTGGACTTTTTGAATGGGTATAGAAGATGTTGTTATTATTATTATATTTATTATTATTATTATTATTATTATTATTATTATTATTATTATTATTATTATTATTATTATTATTTTGAATTAAAGAAGATTTATATTAATTCAAAAAATCAACAAAGTACAAATCGCGATCAAAAGATCCAGCGAAACAAAGCAGACAAAAATTAGAGCATAAGCACAGCTATTTGCTTCCGTAATTTAAAACTATACCACCCTCGATAAATGATTTTATCTATAATGTCTTCTTCCATATTATTGAGAAACACATTATTGAAGATAACATTGTTCCTATGGTGCCATATACCATACACAGTTTCCGCAAAGCCAAGTTTCAGAAGGGCCCCTTTCCATCCTTTCTTTTTCGTTTGCCTTATAATCCAAGCAATCTCTTCATTCCAAGTAAGGGGATCAAGTTGAATCTCCATCCACCTGAGAACTTTCAGCCAAATTTTCGATGTTTCCCTGCACTCAAAAAATAAATGATCAATAATTTCAACTGATTTTTGGCACAGGTTGCAGCTATTACTTGGAATAAAACCAAATCTTCCAAGTCTCTCCTTTGTAGGAAGCTTTCCATGACAAGTCTACCATAAATTCAGAATCGCACGAGGCCTCACACTATTGTTACTGATCAGGTGTCTCCAAGGTACTCGATGCCCATCATCAATGACAGCCATGTACCAATTGCTCATGGGGAATTTATCCTGCTGCATAGTACTCTCCCAAATGTCAGTATACTGCATAGGTATTTCCCTTTGCTTCATGATAAACTTCATGACCTAAGACCAACTATTCTTGACTTCCATCTCCACTATATCCCTAGCTTTTAGATAATACGTGTGGATCTATTTAACCCACAGGTTGTCAAATTTTCTACACAAATTCCATAGACATTTCAGCATAGTAATCTTATTCGAAACTGCCAGGTTAGTCACATTCATCCCCCTTGATTCATAAGGCTACAAACTTTCTTCCTCGCCACAGGACTTTTTCTTCTAATCTCGTGCGTACCATTCCAAATGCACGACCTACACACAACATCTATTTTATTTATAACAAACTTGGGCAGGGGTAAACATTGAAGTCAATACTGAGTAATGGCACAAGAAATGCTTTTGACAAGCTGGATCCTCCCTGCATAACTCAGCAGTTTGGGGGACCAATGTCGAATCCTGCAAAGAATTTTATCCACCAAGGGAAGATAATGTGTGATGTACAGTTTTCTACTAGTAAGAGGGATTCCAAGATACTTTACTGGAAGCATACCTTCTTCAAATCTGGTTAGCCCCTGCAACTCCACCTTACGCTCATGCTCAAGCCCCCAAAAAAAGATTTTTCACTTGCTGGGATTTATACTCAAGCCAGTTGAATCAAAGAAACAACAGATTGTATTCATTAGTAACTCCACAGAAGCATATTCCCCTCTGCAAAAAAGAAGCACAACATCTACAAAGGTAAGGTTTATGATGCAAATTCTTTCACATTTTATATGAAACTTAAACTGGGAGTTCTTCTTCATTTTCTCAAGCAGCTGATTCAAGTATTCCATAACCATAACAAAAAGAAGGGGAGACCGGGGATCCCCTTGCCTAACTCATCTACAATCCTGCATAGCATCAGTTAAGTCCCAATTAACATTGAATTCATAGGTGACTGTCTTGACAGCAACCAAAATCCAATTGATAAATTCCACTGGTATACCAATCTCCCTTAAAATAGTCTTAAGTGCCCTCCAATCAACCATATCATAAGTTTTCTGGAGGTCTAGCTGAATCATACATCTAGGGGATTCATTATTCCTAGTGTGTCCCTTGATAAGCTCATATGCAAGCATAATATGGTTGTGAATATTCTGCCCAGGAACAAAGGTAACTTGGCTTGTACTCACAGTTCCCTGCAGCACTGTACCTAATCTAGCAGCAAGAATGCGAGATATAATTTTGTAGAA